TTGAAGACACGTGAGGACACTTGTGACAAAAACACACCGTCATCTATCAGCTGGTGAATTACACCCACTGCCACTTCATTAGGTACACTCATTCAACTGCTCTTTCACGTAAATATCTGATGAGTCTGAAGGCGGAGGCAGGAAAGAGTTTGCCAAGAAAACAAAATGGCTCTGAGTGAATACTGCTGATCTACTGGGATTTTCCCAAACAGTCATCTCTAGGGTTTACAGAGAGTGATCAGAAAAACAAAAATTATCCAGGGAATTAGCTGAGTGGAAATGCCTTCTTCATAGGGGATATTGTGTTGGCACACTTTGGGCCCCTTAGTTCCAAATGAGCATCATTCAAACACACATCAGCCTATGCAAGTATTGCTGCTGTCCATGTCTATACTTTTACAACAACAGTGTATACATTTTCTAATTGCTGCTTCCTGCACGTCCCAAAGCTCCAATGACCTCAGTCTGGTTTCTTGAGTGTGACACAGAAACAGTCACCAGATCACAGAATAATACAGCACCTTTCGGGTGTTGTGGAACAGGAGATTTGGATCATGGATGTGCAGCTGATAAATCTACAGTAACTGTGTGATGCAATCACGTTAATATGGAACAAAATCTCCGAGGACTGTTTCCAGCACCTTATTGAAACTGTGAAACAATTACTTAATGCAGCTCTGAAAGAAAAGGGTGGTCAAAGCCAGTACTAGCAAGGTGTGCCTACTGAAATGGCATGTGAATTTATACATGAAATATACTTCATTTCCCAGACTGCTCTTTGTATATTAATGGCAGGTTGCAAATTTGCCATTCTTTGTCACAGACTGTTGTTCAAAGACAAAGTGTAAGAATGAAAAATCGTTGTCATACTGCTTGTAGAGGATGATATGCAGAAGCATTTGATTTGCTATCACTTATATACAATACATCCTATGGAACGCTACTTATGGCTGTAGAAACAGCATACAAACTTTTGGGCTGGCATAAAGCAGGGAATCGAGCCAACAGGAAGACGAGCAGACCGACCATCTCAAATCCAAGCAAACAGATTTCTGAACAGAAATTTAGCAAAGATATCGTCATCCCAGCAGCAACATATGAGCAGCTTAACTGTTTTTAGTCATTACCATTTTTGCTGCCATATCCACAATCTGCTTCTCTGATGTTTCTCATACCATTTATGGTAAGTTGGAGGTTAAAAAATTGATTTGACCACCTGAATTATATGTAAGGTTTTGGACCTAATTTAAACTTTTTGCCAGGAGGGCATTAATCTATCCCCTTCTCTCAAACTGTCTATAGTATTTTGTTTTTTTCCCACTAATTAAAGACTAAAGGCAGGTCCAGTTTTTTTTCTTTCATTACTGATCCTTCTTTATACTTTTCATATATCAGCACTTCTCCATTCTACTGCTGGTCAGTCGGAAGTGAGTCAACCTGTGGGCATGAAGGAATCCCCCTCAAACCAGTCCCCAGTGCTGCACGAGAAATACGTGCTAAAAGCAAAAAGTCGTCTCCTTGTAGGAGGCATGTAGGACTACTGCACGTTGTATCCAGTCCAAAATAGTTGAACACTCCGAGTTACTTTTATGACTGTAAACGTGGCATCCCCTTATAGTGCTCAGAGCCCAGGCTGCCTCCGCCTGTGAACGTGCTCCCTCCCACACGCAGTTTGTCAGTGAGGTGTAGGCGGGTGTCGATACACTTATACGAAAGATATGCAGCTCTGCAGCAAATGTGACGTATGCAACAGTTGGCACCGTCTTTTCGTCACAAGATGCATTATAGCTGTTGCCCACAATCACTAAATCTGCTGTTGGCAAATTGCATCAGCCAGCTCAGTGTCATGCCAAACTGGTGGGCAATTAATTTTCCCCATGGGAGCCACACTGAGGGACTGGGACTGTTGTGGAAGACCGCAGCAATAAACTTGTTTCTGCTCATTATTCACATTATCTCTTTATAAACTCTTTATAAGCTTTGCAGTTCCCCGGTCAGCTCGAATGACTGAGATCATTAACATTAACATTTTGAAAGTGGAGCAAAGTTGGCGACACTGGGTGGATACACAGCTGTTTGGTGCTGAAGTGGGGCCCTCAGTATTTGTCTTTCATTCTGACTAATCCTCTGAGTGTGATTTCTCTCCATTTAACTGCTGTGTTTAAATCCTTGCCCAGCAATGAGACCTCCAATAGTCTTTTTGTCATCTCTTCCTCTGTCCTCTGCCTGACTGCCAATGCCCATTGGACTTGTTCTCCACTCAAATCAAGCTGTGCATACAATTACTCTGCATGTTTAAAAGAGCGAAGTAGAGAGTTAGACTCTGTGTGTATTTAACCTGGCTTTTTTGTAATTACATTCAAGAAACCAGCTGTTCTTTTTGGCTACTCATCTCATTCACTGCTCCTGGAGACTGGACCAGGAATCACACACACACAGACGAGGAGAGTCTGATTGTTTGGAAAGATTTAGGTTCAGGGGTGGATACTAGAAGATGTTTTCATTTCTGAAAAACCAGTCAGTAAACATAATTGTTATGTTAGGAGCATTTTTCTTTGCTTTTCTTATAACCCCTGACTGGCTCTTATTTGTCATTTTGGACACTGATGTGTCAAGGAAATGTGTGCAGATTTATAATCCTAAATATATATATAGATTTTTAAGATTTCTAGTCTTTGATTTAGTAATATTTCACACCTAACTGTCAAACATTGTAATGTTCTACCATAAGCAAGGCTAACAGGCTTAAAATGGAAAGATTTACTGTACCAGAAGCCTGTAGACCAGGGGTGGGGAACTCCAGGCTTCAAGTGTCGGTGTCCTGCAGGTTTTAGATGTGTCCTTGACAACACAGCTGATTTAAATGGTTAAATTACCTCCTCAACAAGTTCTCCAGAGGCCTGGTAATGAACTAATCATTTGATTCAGGCGTGTTGACCTGGATGGATGTCTAAAACCTGCAGGACACCGGCCCTCGAGGCCTGGAGTTCTCCACCCCTGCTGTAGACCAATCCCAACATCATTAAATCAATCACAGACAAGAACAAACAGCATAGGTTTGTATTGTACTCCTTTGTATTTTAAGCAATTTATAATTTAAGCAATATTATTTGTTATTTTAGCCACTAATATAGCTTGGAGTCTACCTAATCAAGCATCTTTACTTTAACACTCAGATATCTGCGGGTGTTTGGAGCTCAAGATTAAGCCGTTACAAGCTCTAAAAAAAAAAATGCATTCATACCCAGTATTTCACATTATGTCAGAACAACAGCACTTTCTTACTTTTTTTGTTCATGGACTACAGCAATCTGTATTTAAAAGTATCACAGCCCGGAAGCGTTTTTATAACACTTTTACTGCACCAGCAGTTCTCCCAGCGGCGCTGAAGCGAGTCTGACCTTCAGCTTAAAGCCTTAAATATAAAAGATGGGCCAGACTCGAGGTGCGCCCACACTGTCAGATCACAGGTGTCACCGTGTGCTGGTGCACTATTGCTTCTTTGTGACTTCTAAGTAAATGCACTCATTAGAAAAGTGGAGAAAAAAGGTGCCTTGATGTCCTTGGATCTGCTGCCATCTGTGAACAAATTCCCTCCCACATACTGTTTGACAGTAATGTGTAGGTGGGTGTTGTTTTCTGCTGTAAACCCATTAGAATTTCTCCAAATGCGACATGCCGCTGGCTCCTATTCAGTATGCACCGCCTTACCCACCACAGCATACATGTGCCAAACAATAGTGTCATTCAGAAAATCTTCACTGTATTTTAATTATCTTTTAAAGCAACAGATGAGTTTGCCTTGTTATCAAGCAATCTACATCATATTCTTATTTTAAAACTATCCTGTGGCACAAAAACACTTAAAGATATAACATCTGCACACTGGATTTTTTCCGAGGGGCAAAAAGTTGCACTACAAGTAAAAATCCCATTATAAAATAATTCTAGTACAACACAGTCTGACTGGATAAAACAGTCATGTCTTTAATGATCGTGTTCAGTAATCACTCACAGCTCAGGCTGGAAAAACTAAGTGAAGTCTTGAATTTAGTAGTTCAAAGAAACTTCTCTCGCAACAGCATCATTTCCTGGAGATGCTGATAAGAAGTGCACAATGAGTATTTGGGGGATTTCTTGATTTTCCAGCCTTGCTCAGCTCACACCACAGCATCTCAAGGTGGTTATAGACCAAACTAGTTGTTTCTTTTTCTTTAAACCATCTGTTCATTTATTTGTGCACCCCAGGTTAGCCAGTGGCATAGCACCCTGACATTACCCCCTAACATTTCGTGATTTATTTTTAGCTCCCTAAACCAATGGTGCTTTGGTGTTTGTATACAGCAAACATAATCCTCCTAGAAGTCATATCCAAAATAATAATGAAAACACTTGACTCCAAGTTTAATTTGGAACACATAGGACTCTATTATTAGTTTAGTTAGATTGACTTGGCCCATAATTACGACTCAGAAGGAGATCCTATCAGCCCTGAAAAGTTTTCAGACGTTTTTCTGGGAACTGCATTCTTTATTTTGGCAAGAGAGCCGATCATAAACAGACCGACCACGTGGAGAGTTCTGAATGAGCAGATCAGTCTATGTTAGCTTATTTGTAGTACACATTCAGTTACATGGTATTTGCACCATTGTGGTGCACTAAGCCTTGTAAATTCTTACTTGTATAGCTGTGATTGTGAGCAGTTTGCTAGGCAAATAGCGCCCTCTGCAGGTTCAACAGGAAACACTCAGGTGTAACTTTTTGTAAAATACAAGTAGCTAACAATTATTAACTACAAACAGGTCATTCAGGTAATACAATTATTTATTTTTCTATAAATCTGTGCAAAATTTAAAGCACACAATAGCAAGATGACACCCAACTGTGGCAGCAATATTTTAGCAAATAAATGAGAATCTAATACATCAATATCCAATCAGCTTTCTACTAATACAATCATCTCCTCTCACACAAAAAAAGTGCAGATTAATTTTCTTAATGCCACTATGGCCTAATCTCAGTTTCAAAGGGATAGCCTCTGTTTTCATCGTTTGTGATACTGTGGTTGACGACTCTAACATGTTAATAAATCGGGAGGCAACAAGCACAGCCCCGTCCATGAACGATAGTAGATTCTGCTAGTTGAAGACTAAGAGTTAGTACAATTCTAGATGTCAGTCGTAACCACAGGAGTGACTCCATGAACAAGCAATGTCGGTCCAAGGTTTCGACTCAACAGGTCCACCTGCTCCAGGTAGGCACGGTAACGGCTTCTATCAGCTGGGGGGTGTGGCAAATACAAGAAACGCACAGCTGGCTGAGGGACACCATGACGGCAAATCATATCATTGACGGCACAGATGTACTCATCTGTAAGTTGAGAGGCATTATTGGGATATATCTGGTTACAGTCTTCTCTCTCATCTTCCTCATTCTGTTCGGCCCTTTCTCTTTGCCTCTGCCAGTGCAGCGCCACCACCTCATCCCAAGCCACCATCTGCACCTGAGCTGAGATCCTTAGATCCCTAAGCATACCCTGGAGCTTTGCTTCCTCCTTTTCTTGCAGACTGTAGCCAGCCTCCATGCACAAGAAGAGTCGGAGTCTCGCCTGGTTCCAGGCACGGGAATCATGAAGCACGCAAGCCAGCTGGAGAAGAAACAATGAGCAGATGCCAACATAACCATGGCTGTCTGGCTGAAGAAGATTCATAGGCCACACATCAATGAATGGCCCGGGCACACCTCTGATCTTTCTTCCTGACCCTAAGACTCTGTCCCGGTTGAACTGGTCGAAACACCGAGCCAGAGTCACATTCTTTCCCATTTTTACAGCATCAGCAATCACAGAGACGTATTCCTCTTCCTGCAGGTCTTTGGGGTCCTCAGCACCCCGCAGACTGGGAAAGAAGGGAGAGCGTTGCTCTCCAGGAACTTTGGTTGGACAGACCGTATCAAAGCTATGGCCTGTAGACAGGAGAATATGACCTTGGAGGTGGTCATGAGGAGTGCAGTCATCATAGAAACCCAAGACAAGGGTATTGGGCCTCATTCCACCTAGAATCAAAGACTTGTATCAACTGTGTTTTGAATAAGAAAAATATGAATGATAAAATGATTTATTATATTGGAAATTCTGCCATAACTAACTGCTCAGTGACAGACAGGACCTAATCCTACAACAGTAAAGGTAAAGCCACCTACCAAAGCCTGAGATGAAAAGCAAATTCTGAACGCCGTGTCGGACGGAGTCAGCCAGGGTCAGGTTGACAAACGCTTTGATTTTCAAATGATCCACTAAACAGAGCCAGGAGTCATATCGACTCTGCAAAGGATCAGAGGGCAGCTCATCTGCACACACAGAGGCACACACAATATAACAAGAATCAGACTTTCATAGGGAAAACAAGCAAACTTCTGTTTTAACACTTTTCCCTCTCACTGTGAAATCTCGTTAACGTTAGGATTCATTAAAACTGATTTACACTCAGATTTAACAGCTCTTTTCATCAAAGACTATCACTGGAGGTACAAATATCTCCCTCTAAGACCTAAAGTACTCAATAATCCAGTAGATCGGGCTCCAGCGTACACATTTCTTACCCAGCAAGCCCAGCTTTATGTGTCCAAGGACATAGAGGCCGCTCTTCTTCAGATCATTAACGAAAGCCATGAGGCCTGTACAGCTGCGAGGGTTTGCAACCATCAGAAGCACCTGGGGCCTCCAGAACTTAACATGGTCCTTTCGCACATCCAACATCAACAAGTACTTACGCACCTTGGTAATTACGGAAAAGAGTAGTAAATAATGATTAAAAATGAGTGATTTATGTATATTTATGTCACATTTGTGATTCATGTGAGTGAAAAACACTGTTTATGCACCTGGTGGAAGATGAGAGCCTGGCTGATGTAGCCCCAGTTGCTGATGGGCCCCAGGTAGTGGATAAGCATCAAGAGCAGCAGCATAAAGGCTATGCTGGCAAATGCATAAATTGCATTGATCAAAAATATCATAACCAGGCAGCCGAGGATGCCCAGAGTGCAGGTGTGCCATGTAAAGAAACGGAACGAGGGTCTAAATATAAAAAAAGAAATAAACAAAAATGAGAGAACATGGTATGAAAATGTTCCATTTTGGTTTTACCCGTGCAAATAAAATCTAAAGCAGAAAGGTAAGCCACTGCCTTATGCTGCACTGTACCTGAAGTTTGGTGCAGAAGCCCATTCAAGAGCCAAACAGGCCAGGTTCACAGCAGCATACACCAACAAGAAGAAGATGGTTACAATACCAGCAATGGTGTTCAATTTACCTGCAAATAGCACCATCTAGTGGAGGCGATTGGAAAAAACAGGTTTTAGTGAAAATTAAGAGATGCTTTAGTAGAAAATCTCAAACTGATATGCCACTGAGACCAAAAATTCTTCTGTTTTAGTCCAGAAAAATATCCAGTCAAATGATACCAAGTGAACAGGCTTTGACATGCACCATTAAAATGCAACAGAACAATGTTTGCAACAATAAAACTCATCATGCGTCGACTAGGATAGCTTTGAACCCCCGGCTGCCTCGACACCACAAATTTAAACAGCTACACTGTATCTGAATTTACAGGATAAAATTTAAAATACAAAAATCCTTTCACTCGAGCTAATGAGCTGAAGCTAAGCAGCATGGTACTGTAAGAATTCACTTATTAGTTTTACAACATTCAGCTCCGTCTCCCTGCCAGAACCTTTCAAGCTGTGAGTCCTCTTCACTCGACAAATGAGCGAAAATCTGAAGCTGAGCACAATGATGCTCAAAGTCTTTTTGCATCGCTGAGCAGCAGCTGAAGAATGAGCAAAGTTAAATGAGCTATCCGTTTGTTGTCTGCTCTTGATTTTTCTTCCTCTGTTCCAGCTTTAAGCTTTCATTTACAATCATCTGCAGACAGCACTGCACCTTTAGCAAACACTGTATGACGTCAGTGCTGATGCAGCATCACTACACACATCCTAATTAATTTTTTTCCCCACCTGTAGTAGAAACACAAGACAGGGTGGAAGTGGAAAGATTCTTTTATTTTTTAAATTACTTTTCTTAATATGCTATTACTGGCTTTTTCACTAGTTTCCTCAAATTTTATTCAGGGTCCATAATTCTGACCAAGAGAACAAGATCCCTTCAAAATGTGACTTGGACACTTTAAGTCTGGTTAACTTTTGAATCAGAGCCTTCTGCACCTTGGCAAAGCTACAAGAAGCTCGCCAAGCTTCGCCTAGTCACAGTTGCCACTGTAAACATGTTCATGCATTTGAGGGCGTCTACGGTTTGATGGCAGAGCCAAACTTGGCGAATGGGCAATAAGCTGGTCCACTGATGTGCATGACATTGGTCTTAAAAGTGTTAAGGTATAGACTGAGTAGCACTTTTGGGCCTGTGCAGAAATTATTTTGCAACTTTAATCGTGTCTTCAAGAAGGCAGATGTTATCTGCAAAATCGAGGTTCTGAAGGATAACAGCTGCATGCTTGGAACCTTCTCTGAGTGGGGCCATCAGTACTGCAAAGCGTGTCGAGTGTAATGATATAACTTTAAAGGTGCAAGTGGATTTCCCTGAAGGACACCAGAGTTGATGGTCAATATGCCCATTTCTCACTCTGGGGTTAGTTCAGGAGCTGAGGTGTTGGTTTACATTACCTGACTGCACTGACTGTCGGGGGGAAACTCTGTACTCCAGCAGGGTCTTCAACAATATATTACAACTGATCTTCAAGGCAATAAAGCATGACTTTGTTAAGAGATGTATTCTAAAACACTTCTTCAGCTGAGAATCAGAGAGGAGAAACACAGTTTTACTTGTTGCTTAGCAAGGGCAGCTCTGAGCTCTCGCACGTGAGGGCTCAGGGACTCGCAGCTCTGAGACTGCCCTGGTCTTTATTTCATACATCAGTGGGTGTTTTTTCCTTACATTGTAATGTGGAGGTGTATGTGTGTGTGTGTCTCAGAGTGTGACCCCATAAACGACTTCCCTAAACCTGCTGGTCTGGAAAATTCAACAGTTCATCTAAATGTAAAAAAGGCACTTAGACTAAAACTGACATAGCTACATTTATCCTACCGTAAAACAATAAAAGAAGGTACGACCTTTCCCATGCTCCCAGGATGTGGGTGTGAATGCCAGAGCACTCTGAAATGCACACAAAGCCTTTGCAGACTATTAAGGATCGCACATCCTATCACTACCATATGTAAACTTATATTATTAAAAGATTATACTGACTACTAAGTACAATTTTCTATTGACAGACTTCCTTAGAGGGGCCGTGGCCTCTTCCAGGACTCTGCGTTGTCAGAATATGGGCCAATGTTGATCATACTGATGTACTAGTTTGAGCAGAAGGTGGGTGTAAGAAAGGGTGATGGCATCTGCAGTCTTGAAGAAGGGTGAGGTTTCCTCTTGTTAGTACACCGACTATACCTGACAGACCTCAACATCAGTGGAGAGAAGTTTTAAAAAGCAGTATTTAAAAAAAAAAAAAAGGCAGTGTTGGGTCTTCCTGCACTTTTATATGAAAATTTCTTCAATTTTCTTGCCAGAGAGCTCAAAAACTAGTTTTCAAAGTGATGATCAGGCTGCCATCTGTGGTGATGTGAATGAACTCTGCAGTGTTTTCAGTTAGTAGTTAACGAGCATGTCCTACGAAGAGGTTATTAGCCACATCTGCCACCCAGCAGTCTTTTCGTGCCATCCTAAATGTTTCCAGGAGGAGCCCCATCACCTACAGGAACCTACTGAAGATCCTGAGTGTCACCCGCAATCACTGACTCCCTCATGATGGTCATGTGATGCTTTAACATGAGACAACTGGGGCTGCCTCGCTGTGGGACACAGATGTTAAGAGGTAGTGGGGCAGACCATCTCTGACTCAAGAAACTGATTGAAGAGGATGTTAGACTGCAGAAAGAAAACCTGTGTGTCATGCTGAACTGAGGTGTTTGGAACTTCATAGTATAACCAAGAAGAATTGGAGGATGATGTGTCTGCCCTTTACCATTCATCTATTTTCATCAGGTATTTTGAATTGGTTGCTGTATCCTAGATTACTGGGTATGTGTAAACAATAAGTGTAAGATGGCTCAGCCTATAAGCTAATGAGATATCTGCTTTCAAGGCGAGACTGTCTAAACTTCAAGCACAGAGGAAAATGCAATTTGATGTAACATATGATGTGATACTGATATCCTACCTGCACAAGCAACCAAGAGACAAGCACTGAGACCCAGGGGTTTCCACTTTGAGAGGTTTTCCTTGCCAGAGCCAGAACACCGCCTGCAGAGATTTAGACAACTAACAAAAGCAAAGTCTCTCTGTCTGTTTCGCTCATCGTCCCAAATCCAATAAATAACCGAGTCACCACACGAGGATTTTTTTTTTCCCTTCCGAGAAAGTCAACACCGCGTGCCATCTGTTGTCAAACGAAGCTTTCCAGATTAACATGTCTCCACTTGGAAAATGACACATGATGAAATTAATAACAAGTGACAATTTCTCACATTTGAGATGGAGACCCAGCTCAGCAGATGGCTGAATATTAAAATGTCGACTCAGCTATAGAAGACCAGATGAATTGGATATGCTTTTATATAATCCAGATCAACACTTCAGCCCTGATCATTAGTAATTAACCCCTTTTTATTACAGGAAAGGTTAGCATCCACATCTGATGGTTTCCTATAGGAAATTGTTAATGTTAGAGACAACAAGAAATCCAAATTACAATCATCAGACAGCAAAACGCATGCTCAAGAATCTCACCAAACAGGTCGTCTTTGGACAGGGCGTACAGCACCCTGGAGGCTCCAATAAGGTTACTCATTGCTGCAGACAGGGCCGAGGAGTAAATGCCAACTGTGACCATGGGTGGCAATATATTAATGTCCCCCAGGAAGCTGTAGTCTCTTTGGAGAAGATAACTAGGAGAAATTGGGAAAATTTGACATGTGAAACTAGTTGTAAAGTCTTAAAAAGTTTAAATTTTAATTATATAGTTCTAATTCACAACAACAGTCACCTCAAGGTGCTTTATATTGTAAGGTAAGGATGCTATAACATTAGAAAGAAACAATCACCACCTCCTGTGAGCAAGCACTTTGTGACAGTGAGAAGGAAAAACTTTTTTTTTAAAAAAAAAAACAGACACTGTTTTGTTTTCACAGATCTGACTCTGAAAGCAGTGACTGTCAACATCTTAAACAAGAGTAGTTGTTTATACTTGTTTCAGAGTGTCTGTGTGTGTTGTGTGTCTAACCGGTCACAGGACCATGCCGCCAGCAGACTCAGCACATTATATGTGATAAAAGTTGTAAGAACAGCGGCAAGAGTTCCTCTCGGGATGGAATAACCAGGGTTTTTCAGATCACCTGAAGGAGGAAAAATAAATCAGCATCCATGTTGAACACATTTAAACATAGTAACATTAAGGTTTGGCCAAACTCAGACCTTTCCCACATTATACACGGCGTGCCGAATCTGCGCCTGGTTCCAAGAAAAACCTGCAGTTCTAGAGACGCGTTAGTCAACCCATTATTTTGCTCTGCAAGCAGGCGATTACCTACAGCTTGTTACGTACACTCTCACAGCATATTTTCCCATTTTTCCTTTCAGGCTGTCAACAGTTGCTGGTAAATACAGTTTTGTGAAAAAATATTTTTCCCCTCACTGATTTCCTCGCATGCGAGCCACATTTGCATGTTTTATTTCAAACAGAATTTAACAATACACAAAAATAACCAGAGTAAATACGAAATGCAGTTTAAATGTTTAAATTATTTCCTTTATTAAGAGAAAAAAATGCTATACCACATAGACCCATGCAGATTTGATGAATAACTTAATTTGATGATCTGTGTGACAAAACCAAAAAAATAAATTAGGAAGGAGGAAAATACTTCTACACACCACAGCAGCTAAAAAAAAAAAAAAGTGGTAAATTTTAAAAACAAAATCATTGTACTTTATTTGATATTAATAAGTACAGGCTTTTACTCTCTGGCCGATGGATCCTCTGACAGGACTTTCTTTTATGGCTTTTGCGAGAATTATAACACGCAGCATGTTAAACTTGTTGTTTTCATCATTCCTGAAGTGACATACAGCTAGAGAAAGCCACCACTGCTTTCCTTTTTTAATGAAGTTTTACCTGACATGTTGGACCCTGCCATGATTCCAGTGCAGCCGTTGAACATGACCGCAAACACTCTGGTAAAACTCATCATGGCACCAGTGGTGTAGTCCACCGTGTAGGCGGCTAGAGGGAGTAACAGTAGGCTCGACTGTGTCATTTATACAAACAAAAAGGATGTTTGAATGTAAATGTCAGCATTTTCTACTAATTCAAAGCGTTATTGGAAAACTGGATCTGTAATTGCATATTTCTGTCTCCTTACAAAGCAAAAACTAAATAAAAGCCAATCAACACATCTGATGACGTGTCCAATGCTTACAGAACAGGTTTCCCTCCAGCGTGTGCAGCCGGAAGCCTGTATAATTGGCAGTGCTCATGCTGGTGGTGTTCACTGCAGACGTATGTGACAGAATCACCACGGTGGGCCCCACAATGAAGAAACTAATGAAGATCGAAGCCAGGACCGCCATGACTACGATGAAGATAATGAAGGTGGCTTTTGCATAGATGTGGGCTCCCACCTGTAATCATAAGCTGGTAAAGTTACTCCACTTAAATATTAAATATCTACACATTGTTTCTATGCATGAATCAAAAATTCAGATATAAATATTAAAAGAAAAGAATAGTTTAAAAATAAATTTGGAACAATAATTATTGTTGATTTAAAACATTCAAATTCCTCAGTTCTAAATCTTTATTTGTTTAACTCTCATACAATACAGTAAATATCTCAATAATCTTAGAATATATCTAAAAGAAGGGCAATGAAAAACTCCAATCTCACCAGACACACAATGAAACACAGGAAAAGCAGGGCAGTGCCATAAAGCAGAGACCACCAGTATCCTGACGGCAGCATGTGATGGTGACCTGCAGCAGCTGCAGCACCCTCTGAGTGACAGTAAAACAGAGTTAGTGCATAAACAAGCCAAAACATCTACATGTCCCATCTTGTCCCAATGGACTTCACCTTCTGGGACCCCGAAGGTAGATGTAATAGCCTCGACCAAACCCAAAATGTAGAGAGCACTACTGCAAATGTTGGCAAAGAAAAACATGATCCCAATGCTGCCACCAAACTCTGGACCCAGGGCTCGGCTGATCATGTCTGGTGGTCCAAGTTGAGGAATTTCTGACTTGAGGGTGGCAGTGGGATAATTAGTTTTCCCCTGGGGGGTCTTAAAGAACTAAAATGACCTAAAGTGTTCAAGTGTCATGAACATGGATGAAAGCTCTAAATTAGAATGAAAGTTTTTTCAATGCTTCACTTCTAATCTCCTGAGAAAGAATGCAGTGGACCATCATTACAAGAAAAGGGAAAGAGCTAATGGTCTACGACTGCTGGAACTGATCGTGTTAATAAGGATGTATTTTTATTGCATCCCAGGACTTATTTAAATAGTCTTCGATTGTCCAGTTTTAGTGAGGCCGTGCCAATTGTTGCCGCTTTCTGATCTCGCGTTCTTTTTGTCCTCCGTAAACCTTAGAGATGGTTGTGTTAAAAAATTTTTTTAAAAAAATCCCAGCAGCAGGTTTTGAATACTCATACCAGCCTTTCTGCCACCAACACACATGCAACATTCAAACTCACTTAAATCTATTTTGTTACCCATTCTGATGCTCACTTTAAACTTCAGCAGGTTGTCTGATAGATGTTAAGTTACTGCCAAGTAATTGGCAGGACAGTTATTTGCTGTCGTAAGCAGTTGAACAGGTGTACCTAATAAAGAGGCTAGTAAGTTTGATAAAGTTTGAGACAATTTAATATTTAAAGGTAAACCATTGCATCGCTTAAAACCTAATTCATGAATTATTTGCAGGCTTTAGGATTATCATGTATTATTTAATTTTGAAAGCATCTGTGACCAAAATGGGAAGGACTTACAGGGGATCATTTCTTCATTTAGAATAAAAAAAAAAAAAAAAAAAAACGAGCGGGCAAGTAGGTGAGCAGCAAAGCTCAAAGGAATAATACCGATTTACTTTTGACACTGGTGTCTTTTTTATTTGAATTTTAACCATCTTTTATCTAGCCTGCATGAAAGTACACATGGACCAAAGCTAAGACACACTTTAAAAGGTGCACAACTCAAGACAACTTGCTGCCATCACACAATTAAGCAGCCTAGTGTGGCTGCATTCTCTTAGCTATCTTTTCCTGAATTTGAATGACATCTCCTTCACGTCTTCTCTTACATAACCTCAAGACATTTTCAATCAAAGTCAAGAGAAGACCTTTCACTGCAGCCAGATTCTTAAATATAAAACACCAAAGCTTGGTCTCAATACTTCCCCTTTAAGAGGCAGCTAAAGACCGGAAAAGAAACAAAGGAGACGCCTGTGCAGCTAGACGATATACAGCAATAAAGCAAATCAGAGGGAAAAAATAAGTGTGTTAATGAATTCATAAACAAGATGTGATTTGAAAGGCCATGCCCCTCTCTAAGCAATAAAAGGATACAGTAGGCACCTCCAGCATCTAGGGCCCCATTGGTGGAGATTGCACAGATGGAGAGCACCGTCATTGTGATGATGAAGTAGGCCACCAGGAACATGGCAATAGAATGGTACAGCCCTGCTTGGCCCACAACAAATCCTGTGATAAGCAAGTAACAGCACATCTTTCACTGAACAACCATTTCTTTATCACTTTAAACCTTTTAGCATCCCATTAAAAAAAATAAATATGATTGAAACAAGTTTAAAATCTATCAGACGAGAAATATCAAACATTTGCTGCAGTTTGAATACTCACAGCTTGCAGTAGTAACTTGATTCATAAGTACGGGTTGGACTGTTTTACAGGCTGACATGATAACTATCAGAGCCTGACTGCACAGCTTCAGTATCAGTCTATTTTCTAACATGTAAGCATGATTTTCCTCAAACAGTGAGTGTGCAGTACAGAGTGGAGGCCCGAAGTCTACTCAGATTCAACAGATCTTTGAATAGCGAGCCATAATCACTTCAGCTGCATTTGTGTCACTGGGACTAGATTACTTTATGTGCCGATTTACCTTTTTTTTTTTTTTTATTAACGCATCCAAATAATACAAAACGCTGCAGCCAGACTTCTAACATGTTTCAGTAAGCAAGCCCAGATTATTCCTGTTTTACTTTCCACCTACTTCCAACTTGATTTCAGAATTTGAGTTCAAGTAGTCATACTAACCTTAACACCATACAAAGTGCTATGGTCCAGACTACCTATCTCAAATTCTTGCTTTTTGCAGGATTTGCTAACAAGCTCTGAATTTAGTAGTTAGTTAGGGGGACTGGGAATAGTCTCCCACTCCAGCTACGTTTAGCTAACTGTGTTTAACCTCTGTTTTTAGCATCTGCTTTTTACCTGTTTTTTGTTTTTAAAATATGGTTGTGTTATTTATTGTCATTTTTGATTATTTACTATGATTTTTCTTTTTGTATCTTATTTTGTTGAACAGCACTTTATCACTATACGTCTGTGGAAAGCATTTAATAAATGTAATCACTTAAAGTGCTTAAAAAACTTAGTAGACAACCCAGTGTAAGGTTTATGCCACAGCTGCCCCACATTAACAATATTGGTAATGACCAAAATCAGCTTTTACGTTTCTGTAATGGTTAATCCACCAGTTTACACAAGCAATTTAATGGAAATATTTTAAACACTAAAATTATATAATTATTGTTCTCCATGAAGTTTCAAATTACCTTTGGAAAGTAGAAAATAGTAAAGCACTTAAAAAAAATTAAGTTGCCAAATTAAAGACAGAAAAAAATAGTTTGCAGTCATATGTTAGGCTCAATTGATTTCCTATTCAGTCATTTTTTGTTTCGAACAAGTTTTTCAAACAGTTCAAAAACATTTGTGTTTTCTTGTTTTGTATAAAAGGTGTATCATATATCATAATAACACACAGGTCTTCAGACAGCTGCTTTAATAAAAATAAAAAAAAAAAGGTCCAGGCATTTGTAAAAGCAGATGAATGAGCAGGCAAGACAAGAAGGGTACGTATGACCATTAGCACAGGGTTAAGTTTAATCAGCCCACATCTCCCCTGAATATCCATTAAAAACATCATCTAGAAGATTAGTTGGATGACCTATAAAATCTTGAGGCCCAGGCTATTTTAGTGAAATGCCACAGGTTTAAACCCCTAGAGGCGTTTGGTATTTTATAAAGGTGTTTAATAAAACAACTTTATGGGAGTTTTTTGTTTTATAAAGTTTCTAAAGGAGAACAAGCCAAGAACCAAACCAAATCAATTCCCTAGTTTGCACCTGTGGATCCTCACAGAGGGCCATAGCTCACAGGTGAGGCATTGATGTCCAGAGAAAAATTAGGAAATAAGAGTTAACCGATGATATTAGTGAACTAATCGTCAGTATCAAATTCAACTCATTTTTAATTGTCCATAACTGATAGAAAAAAAATGGGTGTTGGTTGTAAAATATCTCCATATTCTGAAGTCGGACATCAATGTTTGAAAACAACTTATTTGGCTACAAATAATCCACTGAACACGTGTCAGGGCTAAATTTTGTTGAGGTAGAGACTTTATTTTTCAGTCTTTTTAAGATCTCCGGCTGATACTCACCAATCCGCAAGAACACAACAACGCTGAACATGGACAGTAAAGTTGGAATGACGACTCCAAACAGCACCCCGAGCTTCTGAGGCGCCCTATCCTTGGATCGTCCGGGGTGTACCCCTCCTCCGACCCCGGTGCGTTTAGATCCATTAGACGGCTCGCCGCTAGTGGTCAGTCGGTAGTGTAATAAAGGCGTTTTTTCTGACATCGTAGATTATCAATAATAACTGGTAAGTGCAACTTCATTTAAATAAAAGACCAGTTCTATATTGTTGTTATGGTGAAACGTGCCATCCACGTCGAGAGCCGCCATTTACCTCCACGCCTCACCTGCACGAGCCCTTCACTTTGGGCAGGTAATTTGCTAATTGAAGACAAAAATGACGTTGCTTCCTGCAAGGGCTCGTCCAATAATGTCCAGTCTCGTCTCCTTATAATTAGCTTCTTTTTTGGGTTTTTTTAGACAACAATCAATTAAAATAATTTAAATGATTAATAAAAAACAAAAAAACAGTTTAATGTCTTTCATCTATATTATAAAAGTCCTGTATCACAATTATTTTTGAATAATGTATCTTTAAACGCAAAATATATGAATTCTATCGAGAAATTTCCAACAATACGGAGATTTCTTGTACAAGAAAAGCAAATAAGAATCGTTTTAATAATAATAATGCTAATAATAATAGTAGCATACTTCTTTAGCAATGCTCTTATTTAAAGGGTAAACAAGATAAGATTTAAAAGTGCAAAGAGAAAAACACATTTGCCTTCTGCTAAAAAGATATTGCAGTATTAGCAGGGCTGAAGAGCAACAAAAATGTTGGAATAAGTCTCATTCTGTTTACATCATCAAGCTGAAAAACATCTGGAACCAGGATTTAGATAATACAGATGTTGTCTGAAGGCATCATAAAGACGCTACATGGCAGATTTTAGCCTGTTGTAGGATCTACAGGCTTACTTAAAGCTTATTTAAAGCATCTCCACTGTCCTGCAGAATGATACAAAGATAAAACTAAAACAAACAAACATAAAACGCCTCAATATCATACATTCATTTTTCTTATATTCATATTACCCTGTCTTTGCTTTCTCTCAATGACCGACAGATAGTGAAGTATTCACTCTCTTCTGGCTATGAAAAACAGAACATCCATAACAGTGACTTCTGAGAAAAGGTGATGGAAAAAATGTAGATCAATCCAGTTTTTGCTTTGAAGGACCTCCTTCGTGAGCGACCCCCAGCTGCAGTAGTGAAAAGCTGCTCCCGTGTCACCGGGAATTGGTGCACCTGTGCTCCAGGCCAACCATGAACCATTCCAGCTTGGCTGAGATCAGCAGGTTGTAACTCATCAGGACTGTTCTCAGACTCTGAGTGCTTCGAGGAACACAAGACAGCGATGGAGTCACCACTGGCCCCTGGTGGTTGAAATAGGAAACACAGCAATGATGTGTAGTTTTTAAAATGGAAATGGGGAAGAGCATGAAGCCTGTGAAAATATTCGGAGTCACCCGGAAATGAGATTGTTGTTGAACTGGGCTATTATTGACAGTAAGTGGTTTAATGACTGTCATTAATGAGCCTCGGTGTGTTTTAATACCACATTCTATTACCTAATATTATAGTTAAAAAGATCTTTTATTTCCTATTTGATGACTATTTTTTTTATTGTAGTAGCACAGCTGATTTTTTCCCCTGCTGTTTAATTAAACTTTAATTTAGTTAGTTCATTATCTGCAGCATCCATCTTTTTTATGGATGATTATAATATAATTGTAAAATGGAGCAAAAGTGTTTTCCACTCGCTTTATAGAAAAGCACAAACTGACTCTAAACAGCATAAAAATGAAAATTAGATTAGATTAGCATCCAGATAATGGTCTTGGAGGCAGAGCTGTAAATTAAAAAATAGCACCCAACTAAGACTGTCCACTAAAAGGTAAAGACGGGCTCACAAATAGGATGATAAAATGGGAGATTTGTACAGGATCAAAGGAATCTTTAATAAGGAAGGCTATCAGTCCTATCGGTCCTCTGGATGCTGCTTAGTTGGAGCCAGGTTGCTCCTATGACAGGACCGAGCATTTAGATCCAAACTATTTAGAGAAGAAGCAGGTATGGGCAGCACACTAGTGAGAAGCACTTTATGAGGCTTGAACACACTGAAAATTGAAAATACTAGCAGTGCTACTCCTCAGCCTGCTAGCACTTATGATATAAATTTGAAAAATCGCAGATGATTTTCAGGAAAGTTGAATGTCTGACTTTGACCTTGAGGTCAACGTCACTGGGATTCAGACTACTTGGAGATTTCTAGCAGATACACCAATCTCAAAATCCTACGTCGCCTCATCCATGAGTTATCGCATTCACAACCTTGGGTTACCACACTGCCAGCCTAGCAGGGTGACGACAATACACCGTCAGCCTTTTACATCTGAGGGGTAACAAGAAGACTGCCAAAGGTTTGACATGCTTTGTCGTTTCTTTGACATAAACAAAGCAAAATATTATTATTATTTCAACTAAAAATAATTATTTCTATATTTGTTAGTGCTGTACTAAATTTTTTATTCACTTTACACGTGATTGGATTATTAAAAATATAAGTTTTCATGTCAAATATAATTTCTTTTTGGGTGAACAGCAAACCTGTGCTCACGCACATTGAGCTTAAGTTTGTGGTCTTGCCCTTATGACTTCTGAGGACAACTTTCTCACTAACAAAGTATGCGCCGTTATCTTCTTCATGTCCTGAGGAAGGAAAGCTCGGGTCACACAGCATAACATCATCGCTTCCAGTGCACGGAGATTCCAGAAAGACTCACAGACTTACGAGAAACCAGGATATTTCCACGCCAGAGGAAGCTGATAATGCCTCTGGATCACATGCACACCAGTGGTAGAGAACCCCGTTACATGTGTTCCCTCACGATGTGCGAACTTTTATCAACACAACACGTGTCGTAATGTGTCTGATGTGCTTGAGTGACAGAGACACTCAGTCAGCTTTTGGATTTGCAGGTGAGAAGACTTGCAGACTTTAGTTTGACAGTGAAAGCTTCGAAGGAGCTGAAATTCTACGTTACCTAAAGAAAATATCTGAATCCAAGACATTCAGAAATTTTGTGGCCAAATTTACAGCTAGTCTACCATTTGCACTTACACTGAACGGCAAAACGGTGCTTACTAGGAGTGCTTATGAGCTTGTTTGCATGTAATTTGTCACTGTGAGTGCGTCTTACGCTCAGCTGAAGGCGGGTGAGGATGAGCAGGTAGTTGTTGATGTTGTTCTCCAGTCTCTGCAGCAGCAAAGCGCCACATCCTGCCGGTCTGAGGCTCCTTTCAGACTTCACACCCTCGACAAGAAGCCTCAAAGATGCAACTATCTCTCCTCTCTTCTCCCGCTCCTGCAGTTGCATGCGCATTCAGAAAAGGGAGGAGAGGTAATAAAATGTTTGGCAGCACTTCATAATAAAGCCCATGACTTATGGTGCAATTTTCGATCGTTTTACGTGTAATTTTTCTTGATTTAGGGAGTAATTTTCAGTACCTAAAAATACTTAGAACAAAAAGGTTTCAAAGGAAAGAATAAACAAATTATACTTTAAGTATTTTGCTTAATGTGAACCTTTTGTGTATATCAGCATCCTAATGTTTCCCAAATTACCCAAAGTTGACGATGAACCCTAAATGTCTATTAGTAATATAAGCAGGGGAGGTTAAGATATTACATAATACAGCCCACAGCCTTAATGAGGAAGCAGTGTTTGTCTTTTCCTCTAAAATAGCCCAAAGGTATTTTTTTCTACATATTTTATTGACAGTGTAATCTGGGCCTGTTTTATAATAACCCAAAATGTGTTCACTGCTAAATGCTTACAGTGCAATTTGTTCCTTAATTAGTTTAAATCCTCCAATTTGATACCAAGTTGTTCTGTTGTGCCTATTGTGCTGAACATTACACCCTAAATTCAGACAAAACACACTGTGAATACTGGGAAATTACACCATAAGCTGTGGGCTGTGGTACAAAGTGCTACCAAATGTTTTACTGCTGCGGTGGAGGATGGATTCATATGTGTGCCAGCATTACCGATTTGTGTTCCCAAGATGCTGCGTGAAGCTCAGTGCAGGGTAGCTGAACCTGTGTGGAGAGGGTTGCCGAGCCATTACAATTACTCTGCAACGGAGGAGACATGGGAGAGACAAGTGACAGAGACAAGACAGACAGGTGGACAGGCTGACTACAGGTAACAACAGACAACAGACAGATTAGATACAGCATCCAGATGGAGGTTGTGAGACAACCCATTTCTTTAAAATAAATTGATCTTGAAGCCAGAGAAAGAGGCAGAGACATTCTTACCAGTGCACTGGACATCTCAGGCACAATATTCAAAGCCTTTCTGGCTGCTCTACTGCACACAAACTCTGTGGACTTGGTCTCACTGTCCCACACTTCAGAGGCTATCATACAGAGCAGGAGAAGTCCTGGATAAGGTCAGAAATACATGCTGAAAGTGAGCCGTCCCAATAAAGTTTGTAATAAAAGACTCATAAGTGAACCTTTTGTACTCACTGCTTAAAGCCATGCCCTGCTTGGCTTCTCCTTATGAGTCCACATTTGTTCCATTAAGAGATGTGCCCAGAAATTGAAAGTGTGGAAAATGCCCAGAGTCTGCTGTGGTGTCCTGTTTGTCTTCTCACCACTTGATTTCCCACCTTCTCATTCAGTAGTGGGAAGTGCGAGTGTTATCTAGCCTGAGAGCAGGATGTGCTCCAACTTCTCTGCTGCGCAGCATAACGGAATGTTATAAACTGAAAGTGGCATTTTATTGATATCAGCGAGACTATTTTGCTTCTGAGTTGGCTGTCGTAGTACTCGGGGAACAGCATCGTTGCTGGAAAACAGGTTAATGATCTATTATTGTGAAAGAATCCATTGACACAGCTGTCCTGAAAGATATTTACTTTTCGTCCAGGTTAGCGCTGGCCAATAGAAGTCACAGCCAGGGTACATAAACGTCCCCAAACTGCCAGCAGGTGGGTGTGTGTAAGCACCGTGGGTGTATAACCTGTGTGTGATGACATATTGCATGCGTGACTTAATGTGTTTAGAGAATTTGAGACGCCCTCAACGTCCCTCAGCAGATTGCAAATGTTTCATTTTTTAACAAAAGCTTATAGAAAGACACAGCTTGTAACTTCTAAACAGGCTTGCGGTCTTTGCAGGCAGGACAAGGTGACATCACTGGCAACGTGATTACCCACTCGAGGGTCGCTTAATAGCCTGTAAACATGACAGAGAAGGAGAAATGAACAGTCTGCACCCGGATGCATGCAATCACCCACCGGGTTGCGCTACCATTAGGGTCGCAGCTGGAGGACGAAGCGGTGAGGCTCCAGTTCAGCTGCCATGTGAGGGTTAAGGTTAAA